GCAGAGGTGTTTCAGCCCTCGGATCATCTTTTGTTTAAAATATAAGGCGTGTGCTTATAAAAGTAAATCTTCCTGGAAAAGGAAATTTTCATTTTTAATTCTCAAAGGCTGTAAGTTTCAAACCCACAAGATTATTGCAATTAGAACAGATGTGCCATCTACACACTATATTTAAGCCTGTAAGTAAATACAGGGATCACACTAAAACAATGTTTAACTGCATCTGTCTTTTTCTCCCACTTTACTAAATTACAGACACAACTGATACAAGTAGTACTCTGCTTATTATTAATAATAGTAGTAATAATAATAAATTTTACATCACTTACCTGGGAGGACTGCTAGAACAACTCTGAAAGAAGTGAGACGGTCATAGTCTCTAAAGTTCCAGGAAAAGTACTGCCTTTTGTATTATGGTGTATATTGTCACATGACTTACAAAAAGGTATAATAAAGTAATAAGCTGTAGTCATAATGCAGCAGTTTCCTACTCCGCCTATCACGGTTTCTGTTTCAGGAAATTAAATACAGTGCTGCTTGTGAGAAAAATTGGTAAACAAGCCACAAAAGCAACCAGGTTTTGCTTTTGTTTTAAGGGGACACGCTAAGCAGCATGGCCAGGACTTTCTAGCATACAGCACTGCTCAGTATATTTGCTTCCATACATAAATCCTAATTAAAAGACAGTAAGCGAAGGGTGAATCAATTATATCTTCCCATCACAAAATCTCTCATTCCCACTGTCCTGCTGTGGCACCAGATCTTCCACAATTTACCTCCTTCCTCTGAAGTCCGTCTCCAACTCACTCTAGCCTATTTTTAACATGCACTTTCATGTAAGATTATTTCCTACATTAAAAAAAAAGTCAACTATCAGCACTGAATTCAGCAGCAATACTCAGTTGAAAGAGTAAACATTCCTTTGAAATTATTTATGTAAGATACTTCCCCATTTACAAAAGAAATTAAGCAGTAATTAACTTTTGGCATTTTCACCCTCTTTAAAGTATAGAACTCTGCCTTCAATGGTAAGTTTCCCAGTATGGTCTGATGGTCACCAGTATCTTCCTTGCAGCAGGAAATAGACGATCAGCAATCAGTACAGCTACCAGACTCTCTGAAGCTTGTGAAGTCAGCATTACAAAGACAGACAATTAGAAGAGCCGAAATTTGTTAATATGTTGCAATGAAAACAATAATTCATTGATTTCAACCTATCTACCTTTATAAACTCAAAATTATAACATACCCTTCGATAGAATGAGGCATACGAATTCCTTCCAAAAGGCACACACTAGTAACAGTTCAGAAAACATGCCTGACTTGTTTCACCGGCACAAGTTGTCCTTTTATCCAAAGGCTGGGAGCCGCGCAGAGGGACACCATAAGCACTATCTGGTCTTCAGATCCAAAATGGTTCTGTCTCCATGTCATCCATGCCTCACTGTCTGTCTCCCTGCATCAGTTCCTCTGTGTGGTGACTGGATCAAGACTCCAGCTGCAGTTTGAAAGAGGAAGCACGCTGTCATCAGCACTCTGAAAAATATCTGCAGACAAGACCAAGCTCAGGCTGGCTCTTTTCAGATAGAGGCTTCTCCCATCATGCAGCAATTTCGAGGAACAGCCTTTCTGGCACTGTTCTTCCTCTTTGTCTTTACTGTTTCACTTCTTATTTCTCACTCTCGCTGTTCCCCAAAATGTTCCTGTCCCTTTTGTGAACTTACAGTCTCTCTAATCTCCTTCAGTTCCCCTGCATCCTGGTTTTGCCCCTCCGGCTTCCTCTAGAACCGTCTCAGTGACCCAATCTATTCTTTGTACAGCAGCCTACCAAAAATTCATCTCTCCCAGAAAGGCTGGTCTTGAGGAAGTGAAAATGCTGAGGCTACTGACTACTCAGCAACTGTAGTGAATATGGCCTCTACTGGCACAAGGCAGGATACAGCTCCTGCACAAAAATGTGACAGTCAGGTGGGACAGGATACCAGAGACTTGTGGATGTTACAAATCACACTTTAAGATCATGATCTTCTCAAGATACCAACTTCCCCAATAGAAAGACTCTTTTTAAACTAGTTCCACTTAAATCTCTCTAAACAAGGGTTGTACATGTCACAACCCTTCTTTAATTATGTAGGTGGAGAGCATGCGTGTGTGCTCATGTTTCTGTATGCCATCAGTAAGCCTCAAGAGAAATCAATCACATTTTTATTTGTTTGTTTCTTTGAGGCTGATTTCTTTATGGCACAGCTCTGCATTACTGGAGTTACACTGAAGGTGTACAGTGCGGACAGCAAGAAGCGATGACTATCTAAGTTGTATAAAACCCACCCACTCTTCCCCCAAGACTTTGAAACTGCTATTTTACAATACACCACAGGAGATCACACAGAAATGTCCAACAACCTTGCTGAATGGCAGCTGCGGTGATAGTGCTAAGCCTACCCTGCCTTTGGGCTTGTGCTGACAGAGTACCACCGCATGCACCCAAGTATTACAGTGTGCAGTCATATAAACACGACCCTCAACACACGTAAGCAAAATATTTACACTGAATAGTGTAAGTCATGGTAGTGTAAACTGTGTTTAAAAATAAACCTTACTGTGAGCGACGGAGACTTTACCAGTCTTTTAGACTTCAGAAGCATGTATCCTTCTCCCCAGGGAACTTGAGGCAGAAGTCAGCTTAGATTCATCTGACTGCCTTTACCTACCTATGATTTAACTAGAGATTACCCAGGCAGAAGTCTCTACAGAGAAAGCAAGATAACACAGTGATGTTCTCTGCCTATCAAACTTAAAAATGAAACCAAGATCCCGCAAAACAAGGTCAAAATTGTTGTCAGTGTTTACTCTGTACTGATAAAAATTGAATTGTACCTAAACACAGAAAACAAGAGTGCACCAAGTCTGCGCAGTAATTGTTGAGTCAGAAGCTTCATGAATCTATTACAGTATGTTACGTATTCTACTAACAGACAAAACATTTTCTATCTGTGGCACAAATGTGACTTCAAGGGTGGCAGCCATACTAACTCAGAACACTCAAAATGCGATGGGTCATGCAACTACCAATCCATCTTGATAAAAAGTTACCATTATGTTTTGGCAAACTGCCTGCACTTACATACTTTGTATGATGCAAAACTCCCCTCCTAAACATCCTGGATAGTGCAAGCTAAAAATTGCGTCCAACAGCACTACACAGGACTCTTTCAAATCTTCACCCTAACTTATGGCTAGTAATCATATATAACAATCAGTGTTTTGCTGAAACAAACTAAGTTTCACTTCAGCTTAAACTCTGAGACAGTTAAAAACTAACTGGTTCATGAAGCCAAATAAAGTGCAGGGGCCAGTCAGAAACAAGGATAAGCCTTACCCCAGTACATAATTTTTATCTCACCAAGCTCTTCAAAAGAAGTATGAATTTAATGCCATAAGACGAAGGACACAGACATACACAGCAAATGCTCATAACAACACCACATGACATTATTTCAGTTCACTCACAAAATGCTCTGTTAGAAGCTTAACCAACAAGGAGCCTTGTTTCTCATATGGCTGCATTTTAGATCTTAAAACAAGAAACAATCAGAAAATTTAATGCTTAACAAAGTTAATCAATCTTATAAACCTGTAGAGATACACTGCTGAATGCTGTATTTCATAGCGTGCAAACCTTCTACCCTAACTTTTCCTCCCAGCAGCGATGGGGAAATGAAAGTCCACAGTTTCACAGAGGGAATACTATGCAGCATTTTGGCTTTACTCCGTTTTGGAAAGATCTCATTGTAGATGAGGTTTATATTAGCCATTAGATGGTATTAGTATGCCTTGTGGAACAAATCACTGATTTCAATAGTTAACTGCTTGTCCATCAAGTTAAATGTAGTTTAGAGATGGAAGAAATCCTTTTCCACTTACTACTTAAGCTTTCTCCTCTTCATTCCCACCTTTGTCCTTCTCTATGAACATAGCTAGTGGATTTAGAGGCAGGATTTAAAATTGTTAGCCTGCAAAATAAAACACAACGACCCTAAACCAGACCATTAACAATCCTGGTTTAGGTATGTAAGGCTACGTGCAACACTTATGCTGCCAGAAAAACACTTTTGTATCTGCAGCCCATGCAGGTACAAAAACATTTAACATGATAGAAGCATGCTTCTCCCAACCCTGATCATTCTGAATAGATAGATGACATAAAGAGCTGGCACATGGATCGTTTTAATTGTGTCTCCTCTAGTTTCACAGTTTGGCAAAAAATTTATGAGGCCTTGCCTTGAAGCTAACAGTTCCTCAGGATTCTGGGTAACTGCCTTAAAACAGGTAGTGTGGTGAATTGCATTCGAATGAGATGTGCTGATAAAAGGATGTATTTTGAAAGCCTCAATGTTGCTGTGAAGGAGGAGGGTCTCTAGGTATTGGGAATATAAATTTTCTTCTTAAGGTATATGCCGGTTGGGGCATCTGCTTCTTTGTCCCCAAGCGGTCAACACGTCTGCCCACGTCTTCATTAACTTCTGTAAGAATCGACAAAATATCTTCACCCCTACAGCCAGAAGGAGAGCAAAATTGAAAAAATTACTTATTAATGAGCAGATGGCACTCCATTTAAAACCTCTCAGATCATCTAGAAGATAAATATCTAAAATAGAAAAAAGAAAACACATTCTTTTCTCCAAATTTCTCCTCTTTTGTTCTGATTTCAGTCATATTAAAAACAAATGGCCTTTTCTTACTCTCCCTTGCTTGATTCAACCAGTAAACAAAAATAACGGAATAAAATATTTTTATCTAAATCCACTCAACAAATAGATGGTTCTGCTTTAAAGAATATAGATGGGAGGTTTTGAGGTTTTTTACAATAAACTTCACATTCTCCAGATTATCTCTATGGTACTAGCAGTGTTAATGTAAATTTATCAGTGGCAAGCAAACAAATCATCAGTTCAACTAATTTTGTCCAACTCAGAACATGGGTTAGTGTTCCTATGTGAATTTGCCTTTGGAGAAAAAACAAAGGGAAGTTCCTCCCATTTTTTCATGGAAGAGCTAAACAAAGTATTTACCTTGGTACCAACAACTGTAGCTTACTGCATAGGGCCTGAATATACCAAGCACCCTGTTCAACATGTCGGAAAGAGACATATCCGTCAATTGTGGCCATGCCTAGGAGGAAATCGGCCTCTTCAGGAATACTTTCAGAAGGAGAAATGCTCTGTTGCATGGAAGACAAGGGAGGAATTTGTGCATCAGCTTCAACATACACAGGACACTGTATCTCTTTACCCTGGCACGCTTGGATAAAGAAGAGTTTGGGTTTTTCAGCCAGCTGTGGACATTGTTTGGCAGTGAAGTAGGACATGATCATGCGGATGGATACAAGTTCCTCATCTTTCCCATAGATTGCTCCTGACTCTCCATGAGATAGAATACAACATATAAAACAGTCCCTGTCTTTGTGCCTTTGCGAATGCTGCCAAGTTTGCATGAGATCTTTAATCTCCTGAGATGTCAGATCTGTGTAAGTCTTTACATCCAGACCAAGCCATGTGAATACTCGCTCCAGTTCCCCTGTGATTAAAAGAAAGATAAAAGGAAAAATTGAGGCAGCAGAAAACCATTTTATGAAGCCACCATGCAAGCTAATCTGAACCAGGAAAGACCTTACATCCTGACACTTCTGCAGATTCATTCTTATACTAGTATCAACTAAAGGTTAACTGGAATAAAAAAGATGGCATCATCTCAAACACAGAGTTCCTGGATTTTTCTAGACAAGTTTCAGAAAACACAATGACATTTTACAATGTATAATGACACACTAAGTGAGCTCACAAATGACACCTGAAAATATGAGGAGTCCCCCTCTCAGCTTCTGATTAGATCTTTTAAAATCTTGCTCACATCATTATTTTCCAGTTGCAGTTTTGACTATTAGAGCTTCATTCACAAGAGATAAATAGGATGAACAGAATAAAAGAAGTATGTACAGAGTTGCTTGATTATGGAATTTTGCATTATATTATGCAGAATGATGGTTTAGTTTAGTTTTAGTTCTTTATTATAGCTATAGATAAAGGCTTAGAAAAAAGGGATTCTTAAAATTTTTCAAGAATGATCCAACTGCATCAAAAACTCTGCAGTTACTCATCCTTTAACGCTTCATCCCCTAGGATACTCAAGTGACATAATTTACCACATATCAAACATTTTACTCTTTAAGAATATTAACTAACGATAATATAGACAATAAAATATAGAGCAATATATAAAGCTCTTCTTCCGAGCTCAAGACTGGTGCATCCCAACAGGTAGGAAGTCAAGAAAGGGTACCAAGAGACCTGCATGGTTAAATGGGCAACTGTTGGGCAAACTCAAGTGGAAAAAGAGAGTGTACAGATCACGGAAGGAGGGGCAGGCCACTTGGCAGGAATATAGGTCTGCTGTCAGAGGATGTAGGGAGACAACTAGGAAAGCTAAGACCAACTTGGAATTAAACCTTGCAAGAAAGGTCAAGGACAACAGAAAGGGCTTCTTCAAATACATTGCAGATAAAACTAACACTAGAGGCAATGTAGGCCCACTGGTGAATGAGGAGGGTGCCTTAGTGGGACAGCTCGCATGACTGGAATGTGTGGATGGCTATATCCTCTTCAGGAAAGACAGGCCAGCAAGGCGACGTGGTGGAGTTGCTCTTTACGTGAGGGAGCAACTAGAGTGCATTGAGTTCTGTCCAGGGGCAGATCAGGAGCAAGTTGAGAGCTTGTGGGTGTGAATTAAAGGACAATCTGGAATGTGTGATACTGTTAAAACGAGAGTGTACAGATCACGGAAGGAGGGGCAGGCCACTTGGCAGGAATATAGGTCTGCTGTCAGAGGATGTAGGGAGACAACTAGGAAAGCTAAGACCAACTTGGAATTAAACCTTGCAAGAAAGGTCAAGGACAACAGAAAGGGCTTCTTCAAATACATTGCAGATAAAACTAACACTAGAGGCAATGTAGGCCCACTGGTGAATGAGGAGGGTGCCCTGGTGACAGAGGATAAGAAGGCGGCAGAGTTATTGAATGCCTTCTTTGCCTCAGTCTATACTGCTGGAGGCTATCCTGATGAGCCTCGGAACTCTGAGGCTCCTGAGGAAGTCAGGATAGGGGAAGAGTCTACCCTGGTTGATGAGGACTTGGTTAGGGACCAGTTAAGCAACCTGACCATCCATAAATCCATGGGTCCTGATGGGATGCACCTGCGGGTGCTGAGGGAGCTGGCGGATGTCATTGCCAGACCACTCGCCATCATCTTTGCTAAATCATGGGGAATGGGAGAGGTGCTTGAGGACTGGAGGAAAGCAAATGTCACTTTGGTCTTCAAAAAGGGCAAAAAGGAAGACCCAGGTAACTATAGACCGGTCAGCCTCACCTCCATCCCTGGAAAGATAATGGAAAAACTTATCCTTGGTGCTATCCCTAGGCATATCAAGGATAAGAGGGTCATTAGGGGCAGTCAACATGGCTTCACTAAGGGGAAGTCATGCCTGACAAACCTGAGAGCCTTCTATGAGGACATAACCCAGTGGGTGATGATGGTAGAGCAGTGGATGTGGTCTGTCTTGACTTCAGTAAAGCATTTGACACAGTCTCCCATGGCATCCTCACAGCTAAACTGAGGAAGTGTGATCTGGATGATCGGATAGTGAGGTGGATTGTGAACTGTCTGAAGGATAGAAGCCAGAGAGTAGTGGTCAATGGGACAGAGTCCAGTTGGAGGCCTGTATCCAGTGGAGTCCCTCAAGGGTCGGTACTGGGACCAGTATTGTTCAACATATTCATCAATTACTTGGACGAGGGAATAGAGTGCACAGTCAG